TATAATCTCACAAACTTCACCTTTCTGAAACAAATTCAGCTCCTTCTGTGCTTTGATTTCTTCCCTGAGAAGGTTTGAAAATTAATGCGCCTGTCATTTGACAATCTTTATGCAGTGATCTCCCTTTAATTTTTCGGCGTAAATGTACTCATAAAGGAAGGTGACTGCTTCGAGGAGTTCGTGACGGACTACTTGCAGATTTTGTAAATTAGCATATCAGGGCCAGAAATTTAATTACCATTATTTGTTTGGTCTGACGACCCAAACAAATAATAAAACCGACACCTGTTTAAGATTCCTAAAAAAACTGCTAACACATTAATTTATGTTAAATCTATTACGCCGAACCTTTATATGAAGAAAGCAGAAGTGACACCATGCTACAGGGGATTGGGGTAAATGTTCGCCTTCAAACTTCTTTATACAGGGCGGGATATGTCTGCCCTTCAAATGTTTAAAGGCGGGGGACAAATGTTTTCCCTTTCAAAAATACGAGAGGGCAATTGTCCGCCTCAGCAAAAGGGAGCAGATTGGCAAACGGCCAGAGCCACTGTCCATTTGGTGACAAATGTCTTAGAAATAGTCATTTACAATTTTAGTTACCTTATTATTACTATGGAAACAACTTGATACTTGGAGCTTTATTGACAAAAGAAGAGAATTGAAGCAAAAGAAGAAAAATACAAGATCTGAAAGGCTGATTGCAAAATACACCAATGATTACTCTGAGAGCAACAAAGAAACCAAACGGAAATTAAGGAAAGACAAAAAGAGAATATATTGAAACAAAGGCAAATGAAGCAGATGAGGCAGCAAGAAAAGGACAACAGGGGGAAATTTTCCGAATATCAAAAGAACTATCTGGAAAGATTAATAGTGACACCTCCATTGTAAAAGATAAAAATGGAAATAAGATAGCTTTAGAAGAAAACAACTTGAAAGATGGGCAGAACACCTTAAAGAAGTTCTCAACAGACCAGTCCAAGAAACACTACCAGAAATAAATGAGACATTTGGTAAAACCTTCGATATTGATATATATCCTCCAAAAATGGCTGAAATACTAAAAGCCATAAAAAGTGTTAAAAACAACAAATATGCTTGGATTGATAACATTACTGCAGAAATGCTAAAATCTGATCCTAAGTTAATAGCTGAAAAACTTAAAGAGCTTTTAGAAAAGATTGGTGCAAATGCCTGATTATAACACTTCCAAAAAAGGAGATAAGGCAGAATGTAACAACTGGCGGATCATAAACTTGTTATCTGTGAAATCTTCTGTAAGATTATATGTATGAGACTCAATAGACGAAAATATCAGAAATGAGCAGACAGGCTTCAGACCTGGAGTGCGTTGCATGATTACATTTTCACTCTTAGAAACATTATGTAGCAATGCAATGAGTGGAACGGTAAGGCCATATAAATTACATTGATTTTGAGAAGGTCTTTGATAGCATCCATCGAGAGAGCCTAAGGAAGATACTTTCAGCCTATGGATGCCAAGAAAAACTTGTCCTAGTAATAAAATGTTTTCATAACAACTTCTCATGCAGTGTGCTACATAACAACAATATATTAAACTGGTTTAACATTTCAAGTGGGGGTACGCCATGTCACCGATGCTTTTCCTAGTTGCAATAGGCTGGGTCATGAGAAAAATAACAGGAAATAAACGTAGAGGAATATGATGGACACTAAAAATAAATTCTGGAAGATATTGACTTTGCAGATGACATAGCTCTTATGTCCTCAACATCAAACCACATAAGAAAACAAATGACCTATATGTTAATGCAAGGCAGGTTGGATTAAACATAAACAAAAGGAAAACTAAGACAATGCAACTTCATCCTTCACCACCGTTAATAAAACTAGTAAACGAGGATTTAGAAGAAGTAAATGACTTTACCTACCTTGGCAGCATTATAAACAAGACAAATGTAACAGAAAAAGACATATCCATCAGGCTACGAAAGGCTAGAACTGTTTTTTTATCAACTAAAAAAAATATCGAGATCCAGCAGCATCAGAAAAAGAACCAAAGTACGACTGTACCAAAGTAACATCTTGTCAGTTCTTTTGTATGGCTCAGAACGCTTGAAGCTTACACAGAAAGACAGCCAGAGAATGAAAGGGTTTCACTCCACTTGCCTAAGAAAAATTTGTAAAATATACTGGCCAAGGAGAATATAAAACAGTGATCTTTTTTAAAGAATGGAATGGCCAGCAATCTATTATCGCCACCATCAAGCAAAGACAATATAAACGGCTAGGCAATGTAATAAGAAGGGAGCAAATCTCCATCACAACTTCGAACATTGAAGTGCACTAGAAGTGCACATGTCGTGCACACCAAGTGCACTTTATGTAACCTTTAATGTAAAATGAGAAATGAGCCAATACTTTTGGAGATTTATGACATAACACAAATTGTTAATAAAGAAAACAACAAGATAGAAATGGATTCGGGCTGTAAGACGAAAACAGTCGCAGTACACAATCCTGAGAATGAATTAATTTTAAAGCATTATTCAGCAAACGAAGACAATCGGCTGTTCAAACACACATTTTTCTTTTCATGTACAATGAAAATAAATATGACACATATTCGTACTAGACTAGTTGCAAGAATTGGAATGAAGTATTGCATATTTCTTTGGTTTATCATTAATTATTTTAAACTGCTTAATAACATGTAAAAAATATTTAGTTAACACCTATTTGTTTGTGTTGTTTTTCTTTTTGTTATTGTTGTTTTCCCCTAGGCATCGCATCTGCCCTAATAACACACTTTCACCTGGCTAGACATGCAGAGTGTGACCCGTAGTAGCAATCTTACACATGACTTATATTGACAATTCAATCATTACAAACATAGGTAGAATATAGAAGACCAACAAAGACCTATTTCTTATACTGTACAATTCAGTTCTAGGCATCCGTACAGATACTTTTCTTTAAGATTTTACTATAAATTTTCTAAATCTAGATTTCCACCTCTGACATTTATTCTTTTCTATATTTGATATACACATTGTTCTTTATTATTCTTTTCTGTATTGCTTATTATACGCATTTTTCTTAATTATTAGCTGGGAATTATATTATGTTACCTTATGTAATCTCATGATTAAAGTTGTCCTCTGTGATATTGCATGCCGTTCATCATTGTGACTTTGTATGTTTTATTTATATAATCATTTTTGCTCTTGTATTTGTTTATTTTCAAGCTGAGCTGAAATCAATAGACAAAGCAAAACAGAAACGATAAACGAAACGAAACGGTTTTTCCATGTTAAACAGGTGTAAGTCAGACTATTCTCCCATATAACTTCTTGAGGGAAATTACTTTCTCTTTAAAAGCAAACAAAAAAAACCAGACAGATAAATTCAAATGACGAATATTGAACTAAAAATGAGCAATCACTTAAACATAAATCTTCTTTTTGTAGTCTATCACACACAGAGCACATGCATCTTTAAGAAAAACTCTAAATTAATCTGCTAGTAAACAGAAGTATCACATACTCCATCGATACAACATATCGAATAGATGGTCTCTTAGATTTACACTTAATTTATGCTCCTTTTTTATTAAGAATAACTTTCTTTCTCATGCAAAACAGGCAATTAGATTTTTAAGGCATGTATGTAACTAAAATTTAGCAAGGACTTCTGATAAACTCTATGACACAAATAACACAAATAAATGTCAGGTACCATAGTTGATAATAACGTTGCATAAGTAAGACAATAAATACCGATAATAATTATATAATTAAAATGAAACACTGCTTTCTTTCCAAGATTAATCCAAAGGACACATAATTAATGTTCAAAGAAAGGATAAAAGAAAGAAAAAGTTGTCTCCTCTGGGGTTTGAACCCGAGCCCCTCAGTTTCATTGCAGCTGACAGTAGTTCTAGGTTATTTGAATACTCTTCAAAGTAGAGGTAATGCATAAGGTGGGTCATACCTTAACATACATCAGTTTTCGAAACAGTACTGAGGGTATTCAGTTGCAACATTAAACATGTCTTGGGATCATAAATGAAGCTCATTATCTAAGGCCCATAAACCGTTAAATAGTATTTTGCTGAATTATGACCGTTTGTGAACTTAAAAAATTCTTGGTGTACAACATAAATCTTCCAAAAAAAAAAAAACAACAACAAAAATCAGGTCTTCATGACCTGTTTAGAGATAATTTTCTCAATGCTTTAAACTCTGACATGACGTTTTACTGTTGATTACCCTTTGTGACAACATTAAACGCAATCTCAAGATCTACTTTCTTACATATAGAAATGGAACGTATATGTTTCGCCTTCACTGTGATTCGGATTTCCCGAATAAGCTAATTTTAACCATGCAATCCAGATGGACATTAGACGAAGTATCAACATGTCTTTTTTCGTGGAAGTTAAACAAATTGTTGATTTTTTGTTAGAAAAAAATGTTAGAAGTCATTTTGACAAATTACCTGGATATAATAGACTCAATTTGTAATGGGCATAATTGTTTTGCAAGTTTACCTGCCGGCTAAATCGACGACACCCTGTTTGTTCTCGAAATCGTAAATGTTATCTACTCAGAATTGGTTTTCCAGCGGCTAAATCAGAAACCGCATCGCTTTCAAAATTATGAAAGCTCGCCAATGCTTGGTTGTTTTTAAAGATCACGAGAAGATGACAACTTCTTTGGTGGTAGTCAGATCCTGACGCGTAACGTTATTTAGGAGCTGATGAATCCGTCCGTATCTTTTTGACCAGTATTATCACTTTTAGAATTGAACGTTACCGATACATTCTAAATTACATGATAGGAATATCCGTTGGTCATGTGGATTATTGATTAATGATATAAATGTCAAGGTTTTTGGATGTGTTTCACTGACCATTTTGGATGACCTTATGTCATTTTAACATATTGAATAAAACGTTTTGTGAGAAAAGCTGTTCACTGATTTTTGATCTCCAATTATATTTTTTCTTACAGATAAAGATGACTGCCAATCCCTACCATGTCATAACAACGGTAACTGTACAGACGCTGTCAATGATTATCATTGTACTTGTAATGTTGGATTCACAGGTCGAACTTGTGAAACTGGTAAAATATAATATATCAGCATTATATCAGTCCTACAAAAAGTAGTTTCGTTGTGATATGAGAAGCTGCAAAATGTACGCTTAATCAAATTATTTGATGTAGAAAACGATGCATTTTGATACTTTGAGTTAACGACTATAATAATCTTTATGATTGTATTAATCAAAATACATTAAATTTATTTAGATATCTTAAATCTCTTTTTATATATAATTGTGCAGACAAGTAAAATGATGACATTAAAAAGGTTGTCGATCAATCTTGATTTAATTTCTCTCTATAATTTTATTATCAGCACACAGCTTTAAGATAAATTTATCCAAGAATTAAAATTCGCTGTACATGAATTAATTATGATCTTGATGTTAACAAAATTTGAACTTTTTAACAGTTATGTTTCTCATTTTATATATGCTGTGTATGCAAATGATTATACGCTATGCAGTTCTTGTGTCTATGATGAGAAGGAAAATAGAGTCCTGTAGTGTTATGGTATCACTGGTGTGTGTGTTTTTTTAAAATTATTATTATTATTATTATTATTATTAATTATTTATCTAATTTTATTTATAAATTTTTTTACTGTCTTAAACTTTATTGTCAGAAATGACCGATCAAGTTTCGTATCTAGAAAATAGAAAGATGTACATGATCATTGGAGTATCCATAGGAACAGTTTTCATAGCCATCATCATCGCATCAGTTGTTGTTGTTGTAAAGAAGAAACGTAATTCTGGCCCAAGAATAAACGGTGAGTTGGTTTTATTTTATCTTTGTTCCAATTTCAGAGTTATTTTATTAGGTCGGTACGACAGTTTCATCTTCTCGCGATTAATATAAGTATTAATTATAACTCATTTTTCCCTAATATGATGATTGAAAAGAATTAAGCTAAATCTAATGAAATATATTTTATGAAAGCTACAAAAAGTTTCTATAAACTTATGGTCTCAAACGAGTTGTAACATAGAATGTCTCTATTATTAAACTTACCTGAATATTGTGCGTAAACATAAAATGTTCGTTCCAAAATATTGTTCTGCTGTGTTTAGTAAAGTATAAATCATTTAATTATTCTTTATGCATATTGTGGAAAATGGAGTTGATAAAACTAAAGCAATAGTTTTTATTTGTTTGGGTCGTCAGACCAAACAAATAATGGTAGCGAAATTTCAGAGTCTAATGTTGTTAATTGCAAATGCCGAAAGTAGTCCACTTTTTCGAAGCGGTTACTTCCCTTTTGTATGTACACTAAAGCCGAAAAATTCAGGTGAAAACACTGCGTAAAGATGGTCAAAGACAGGCGCATCAATTTTCAAGCAAAGTAATTCCCGAATGGTCGAAGATTTCTAATATTGTTTTATTGTATTTTCTGATCGAAAATAACTAAATACAAAGCGGACATTCAATCTCTGACACAGAAGTTTACGACAAACCTAACAACAAGTAGTTCTCAAAACAGCTTAAAACTAGCAATTTAAAAGAAAGAAATATTTTATTTTGTTACAAGTATCCAACAAATTACAACGCATTTAAAGTTAAACAATAGCGTTGGCTTATAAAATTGTCAATAAATGCACAATCACAAATTACGCGGATGAATATGATTTTATCAATGAAAATACTATTTATTGCCGAATACTACACAAACCGAGTAGTGGAATATATAGATTCTACATGTCGGACTGTTTGTGCGAGAGGATTTTCGCTAAAATATTTACTTCAATTTTAAACAACAGGTTTACCCTGAACAAAATACCTCGAAATTAATAAGGATTACAAACCCGAAATGCTAATGGAATTTCTAAATTTAGAATGACTTGATATTATTCAGACTTTCTGTGTAAAACTTCTCCGTGGTGCAGTGGTAACGCGTTCCCTTAGTGAGTGAGAGGTCTCGAGTTCGAATCACAGTCGAGGAAACTTTTTTTTTTTGTTAAATTCTTTTTTAAGTGTTTTTGTTAAGGAAGTAGCCATGATATGCAAGGATAAAGTGTGACTGTCGTAAAAAATGAACATAAATGATTTTTTGATGCAACTCTAGTTATGCAGAATTCCGTATGTATCAAACTCTGGTGCCTTGCAAAATGAATTATAATACATAAAAATAAACCTATACAGGAAAATGCATACAGATATACAGTACGATTTAGATTGCAAAGATCAGAAAATACCACAGAACTTGCAGCCCTTTGATTCTTTATAAATATAAATGCTTATAGTAAGCTCCAGGATTATTTACATCTGTGTTAAACAACAGTTAAAGTCGTTACAAGCCCTAATTTAGAATAATATGGTTTTCTTCAGCCCGTTCACATATAAATTCACCGTGGCTGAAGGGGTTTCGGGCTCGCTTAGAAAGCGAGACGTCTGGAGTTCAAATCCCAGTAAAGGTTACTCATTTTTTTCATATTGTTAAAGTCAAATAAACATTGGATTGAATATCAGTGTTGCAATTAGTCTTATAGCCAATTTACTACAATTAAAACGCTGGAAAGCATTGGTGGCACTATACATATAATCTCACAACCTGCACCTTTCTTACATTCTGAGACCCAAACAAATTCAGCGCCTTCTGTGCTTTGATTAGAATATGTGGTGGGTTGTTATCTAATGAAGAATTAGTGTACATGCATAATGTTGAAAAACTCGAAATTTTTAGCATCATTAATAAACTTTGATTTGTTTTAATTACGCGGATACGTTTGCTTTAAATCAGGAACAGATAATAGGAAAAGCTTTAAAAGCATTCAAATTTTGATTTCCTACTTATAAATTGCCAAAAACAATATCTGAATCCCAAAATATTATGTCAGCTGTTAAATGCGTTTGTCTGATCCATTATTTGTAATGCATCGGAAATAGTAAGTCAATAGAAATTGAAAGACTCCATCTTAAATTTTGTAAAAGAATACTAAATATTTCACTAAATACATGCAATTGCAGCAGTTTATGGTGAGATAGCCCGTAATCTTTTATACATTACAAGACATTTACGGGTAGTAAAGTTTTGTCTTATATTATTGCAAACAGACAATATCGTTCTTAAAGAAATTGATGATATATCTAATGATGACTGTATAAATGATAAGAAAAAATGGCTTTCAAGATTATTATTAAAGATTTATTTTCGTCGTATGGTTTTATGTACTATGGCAGAATGGCAGAATCAAGAGGTTTTATTTAGTAAATTGTTTTTATTAGACTTCAAGCAGCGTTTAATTGATTCCTTTGTAATAACTGGCATGCTAACATTGCGTATAGTCATGTTTTGTTATTATACAAGGATGTTAAATGTGTTCCGGTATTAAAAATATCTGGATATATTACCTAGCAGTCTTAAGGCCTCAACAGACGGTAGGATTTAGCTGTACAACACTAATTAGAGAAAAGATGTACAATTTTCAAAGCAATACAACACGTGTATTCAGACCGTAATTCTGCATCGTAGGAATCATCTCAGGTTTCCCTAAAAAGGTTCCCTCCCGATTGATCCCTTACATACTTTACTCACTAAATATATTTTTCTCCATGAGTAATGATTAAAACACCTCCATTTTTTTAATTGTTATTTTTTTAATGTGCAGCCTGACCGAGACTCAAACCTCGGACCCTCGGAATACCGTTATCGGTTCTACTGACTGAGCTATCCGGCACCTCCCCTGATTAGAGAACAGTTCAATACCGTGACATAATCATTTTCGGAACAATTTGGGATTCGAACATACCACAACTTGAAGAGTTTTTCAACATCATTTTTACCCCATCTTTCTACTACTTTGACCTTTTAGCCCTAATTGTTCTGGAATTTCACAAGATTTTCAAAATAGATCATGTCCTATCCCTTACACCTAGACTTAAGGTATACGAATTCAAGAAATGGTAGCCTTCACACATTAAGATTTGCTTGTTTATCTTAGTTTTAATTGGTGTTGTACTTCAAAGTCCTACCGTCTGTTGAGGCCATTAGGAATAAAATTATCAGCACATCCATTACTTACATGTACACAATCTGGTCGTTATGGTTCATATAGGACTTGTTATATACGAGAAGCGTTTGAATGAGAATATCCGTTAAACATAGTTGAATTCACGGTTAATCCTCAGAGTAACATTGCGAAGATAAATACTACGAATTGCATAATGTCTAATTGTTAAAGAAATATAGATTACATTTTGCTTTGTTAATATTTTGATATGATTTTTGTGAATAGAATTATAAATTTAGCAATAAAAACATACATGTATGCTTTGCTATGATTTGAATATGATATGATTATGGAATGTGACTTATATTTGATATATTTGATTGATTGTATTGTGTATGTGAACAAGTATGAAATAAAGTTTCTGTTGTTATCCCCCGCCGAAAATTTTCGGCGGAGGATATAGTAATAGTCTCCGTCCGTCCGTCCGTCCGTCCGTCCGACCTTCCGTCCGTCCGTCCTTCCGTCCGAAATTTTTGTCCGGAGCATATCTCTAAAAGTATTTGAGTTATCAACTTGAAACTTCATAGGTGGATAGACCTCATTGAGGAGGAGTGCAGTGCACAAGAATGATAACTCTACCTTGCATGATTTTTGAGTTATTGCCCTTTGTTATTTTTCAAAATTGATTTTTGTCCAGAGCATAACTCCAAAAGCCTATGAGATATTAACATGAAACTTCATAGGTGCATAGATCTCACTCAGGAGGTGTGCAGTGCACAAGAATGATAACTCTTCCTTTCATATTTTTTGAGTTATTGCCCCTTTGTTTATTTTCATACCTAATTTTTTCACCTGAGTGGAGCATAACTCAAAAAAGTGTTTGAGATTATCAACATGAAATGTCATAGAAGGATAGATCTTATTGAGGAGAAATGTTGTGCGCAAGAATGATAACTCTTCCCTATACAATTTTTGAGTTATTGCCCTTTGTTGTTTTTTTCATGCTATTTTGTCCAGAGCTTATCTGAAAAAAGTATTTGAGGTATCATCTTGAAACTTCATAGGTGGATGGATTCTCATTGAGGAGGAGTGCAGTGCTAAAGAATGATAACTCTGCCCTGCATTATTTTTGAGTTATTGCCCTTTGTTATTTTTCAAAATTAATTTTTGTCCAAGAGCATAACTCAAAAAGCCTTTGAGATATCAAAATCAAACTTCACAGGTGCATAGATCTCACTCAGGAGGTGTGCACTGCACAAGAATGATAACTGTACCTTTTATAATTTTTGAGTTATTGCCCTTTGTTATTTTTCATACTTAATTTTTCAATTCAATTTTTTTCTCAAAAAGTATTTTGAGGTATCAACTTGAAACTTCATAGGTGGATAGATTTTACTGAGAGGATGCAGCACACAAGGATGATAACCTACCCTGCATTATTTTTCAGTTATTGCCCTTTGTTATTTTCAGCCATCAGTATTCACATAGGTTTCAAATCTGTAATCACTATAGCCATCAGTTTTCATTACCAAAAGACCTCTTAAAATGGAATTATTCTGCTCTACTACATATACATTCTTCCAATGAGCAAACACATTCGGCGGGGGATGGCCATGTTGACATGGCTCTTGTTATTTTAGCAATGATGCTGTGTATACACTATTCTCTCTTAATGAGTTATACAAACATATTTCTTTTATACAGGAATTTATTAATTACTCTTCCAAACTTCAGACAATAATTCTATTAACTACATAGAGCAGATCTTATGGAGTTATTACATTGCTGAGAACGAAACCGAATTATGTTTAAATTGAATAAGTATGATTCTAAACAATGTATGATAAAATCTTTTTTTCGCAGCACCAATTCCTATGAAGAAAACACATACAATTTTATGATGACACACAGATTCAACAGTATTGATATCTAAGATATACTGACTGATTACAATAAATATTTGATATGAAACTTTTGGACTCGGAAAATGAAAACGATGCTAGAATAGTGCAAAATAAATTGTATATGTATTTATGATTGAGAAAATGAAAAAGAAGCTAAACGGAGTAGAATATGATGCGGATATTTTGGACTCGGGGAATTGAAAACGAGACTAAGTTTATAAGACTGAATCAAAAAAGATTTATATTGGAAAATCACGTGTGCCAATTCTGAAATTAACTGATTACATTGATAAAGAGTCACATAAAAAGCTTTAAAACCTTTATTCGAATCCATCATTGAGATTGGTAAAGGATAAGTAAATACCAACATGAGAGTGACTGGAAGGAGGGAACCGGATTTTCCAGTGCTCTAACAAACAAAATGATCGATTATAATACTTATCCGAACATAAGAAATTAAATATATAGAGGATATTCAAGTTTTTTCTATAAATACATGATTTATTTTCATGGAGTGGTATGAAAATAAATATTTCATGAGTGGCGGTAGCCACGAGTGAAATATGATAATTTTCATGCCACAAGATGAAAATAAATCATGTATTTATAGAAAAAACTTGAATTTTCTGTTTATTATATACATATTTCTCTTTTTTTGCGATAAAATTTGAAAGACTTTCCCTTTAATTTTGTGTACTGGCAGAATTTAAAAGAAAGTAGTTCCGCAAGACACCAGTGAAAATACGGAAAATATGTTTCACTGCAGTGAAAAATAAATTTTTACAGTGAAAATACGGAAAATGAAAATACACATTTTATTTCATCAATATTTCTCAATATTTCATTTATAAGTATGTAATAAATCAGATATACATATTTTGTTTCACGCTGATGTTAAAGGGACTTCATTGAGGGATTTTTAACATGACTTTACTAGAAATATTTTTCCGAGATTTGTGAACTTTATGATATATGTCTGAACCTACAACATGTGTACAAATTTTCAGATCATTCAAAAATTTTCAATAGCATTTATAATGTGCAAATTGATCCGAAATGAAAGTTTGCAACTTTTTATTTTACTCAAATTGGGCTAAGAATTATTTTACTCTCTATTTTCAATTTGAATCTGGGTATACGTGTTTTTTATTATTTGCGGATTTTTAAATTTTAATTGCTTCACTTGATGTATATAAAACTTGGTATTTTGTGTTTTCATGTTTTTTTTGTCCTCAGTGGAGCTGCTTTTCCATTTCACATCTGTATATAGAATATCGTGTTGACAAACGATTAATCGTTGAAAAAATACATTCTGTGCCGGCTTTGCAAGTCGATTTTACCAAAAACTTGATGAAATAAATCTACATCATATTCATATATAGTCAATGTAATTGAATAACAATGGAACAGGTAAAATATACCGTCACATTTGAAACTGTACTATTGTAGCACAATTGTTCATTGCGTAGGCTGGACCAAATGTTAAAATGAACCGATATCTATCATATACACAAATGTACTTATAAATGAAAAAATGGGAAATATTGATGAAATAAATCTATATCAAATTCATATAGGAGTCAATGTAATTGAATAACAATGGAACAGGTCAAAAATACCGTCAATTTTTAAAATTTACTATTTTAGCAAAGTTGTTCGACCAAAAAGTACCGATATCTATTATATATTTATAAATGAAACATTGAGAAATATTGATGAAATAAAATGCGGATTATTTTTAATTTTTCGTTTATTCACTGTATCAATTAGTTTTTTTACTGCAGTGAAACATATTTTCCGTATTTTCACTGGTATTTTGCCCGACTACTTTTTTGTCAGTTCAGGCGTTACACAAAGTTAAAGGGGGAGTCTGTTGAATTGTAGGGTCAATAAGGGGACAAGTTTTGCAATAAACAGAAACTTCTTTATTATTATTTTATCTGATGGTATGAAAATTATCCCATTTCACTCGCATGAAATATTTATTTTAATACCACTCGATGAAAATAAATCCTGTTTTCATAAAGAAAAACTTAGATAATCCTCTATAAATGTTAAAAATAAAACAAAATATAATTATTACCTTTGAAATGTTACTATAAACCATGAAATCAATTGCAAGTTGATGGATCATCAAAAAGAAAACTAAGAAAAAATAGTTTCATCTCATATTAACAGTAAAAATGTCCACTCCATTGATTTCATTTGTCCTGACAACAAATTTCTTTAAAATGTAACAGTTGTTTCAATTATTTATGTAACAAATAAATATATAAATTTATTATCTAAAAAATGAGTGTTGAAATGTCAAAGGATTCGGACTCGAACTCGATAAATAATGTTAATTGTCTGAAATGTTGTCTTGCTGTCAGGTTATTTGACAGTTTCACAGCTGTATGTTGTGATCAAACAGTTCACAGTTCATATCGAATAATTCATATTTAAGTGCTGTATTTTTATTCACTTTGTATGTTATAACAGACTTTGCAAAAGAATAAATTCCGTCAATCAATAAAGTGTAAATGTTTCTATTCAATGTTTAAACGGGAAACGCTTGTTCATTGACCAACAAACAAATGCAGATTAATCATCCCAACATTACTGCATTTAAGTAACAGTAATTGGCTTTCTTTTTTCTTTATTTCTAGACACTCAAGCAGATAATGGACCCGGACAAGAATTGGAAAGGTACATAAGTTATCATTTGTCAACATGTAATGCTTATTATAATATGATTTATTGATTATGATATAAATTTGCCTATTACGTATGAAATGATGACACGTAAAATAAAAAACAGGTACCTTTTTATTTTCGTTTTTTTTTCACGCTATATATTTTCCTTGCTTTTATACTTTTAAAACCAACATTTATAGTTCGTAACATCTAAAATCCCGCTCTGTTTGGGAACTCACGACCAGTATCTTACAGTTAAACTCAACACTGTAGACATCTAATTAGAAGAATCGATTCCCTGGCCCCGTGTTCACAAAGATTTAAGGATCAGGATCAAGATCAGGATCAAATTTAAAAACCCTAATATTCTTCATTGTGTATCCTCATAGATAAATATCTAATTATAAATTTGATAAAACTGGACCTGAAATAGCAAGCATATGAAAATTTAGAATAAATTAATTGTTAATTTTGCAAGATATGGGCATTTTACAGTTGATCCAAATATTGATCCTGATCCTAAAATTGATCCTTATTTTGATCCAAATATTTTTGTATTTGTTTTGTTATTTGTTGATTTTATCCCAAAATATTTTGTTTTCTTTGCAAATCAGCATATTTTTACAATTTGAATATTTACAATATAATTCAACAAAACACAAATAATTTTAGTAACATTAAACAATGAAAATAAAATCAGGATCACTTGATCCTCGAGAAGAAGTGATCATAAGACATTAAGTAGAAATTATGTGCTATTATATTTCAACATACTAGGTTTAAAATAAACACTTTGTTTTGATGAAAGATAACTTATTGAAAGTGATATTTGAAATTACTCTTGGGAGTTGTTTTGTATAATTAATTCATCATATTTAGATTTATCATATTTAGATTTATTTCATATACAATGTCAAAGAGCCAGTATCACGGAAACAAGTACCACACCTTGACATAACAGATAGATACATGTATATGAATCTAAAGACATCTATGTTGATTTGTTTTAGCTACTTTCCTATTAATTGTAAAAATGAAGTTAAGAAATTAAAATAAAGATATTTATAAACATTTTTTATGTACTTTATGTAGAGGAGGAAATCGAATGAGTACGAGTCAGTTGTATGTAAACGTTGTAGAAATAGAAGGGAGATGGTCAAATACTGACACGGGTGGAACTGGTGATGGATACTATTCAATAATTGATCATCCCAGCAGGCACGACAATAACATTTACGACAAAATAGAATAGTTATATTTACGAACGACATTTCATATATAATTGGCTTATGAAGTGTACAAACAAAAAGAATTTGATAAATACATGTACACATCATGCATTGTTTGCCATGATTTAATAATTTGATTAGTTTAACTTCATTCTTATCATAGACCTAGTAAGTACAAAGTCATAGATATGGCTTTGTCAAACAACAAATTAGTTCTGAACAATCTTAGCAAATGTATTTATTTAGCCAATATTAAAGGAAATGATTTATTGAATTCATATCTTAGACTATATCAATGTTCATTATACTGTAAGACACTTTCTTGGTGAAAAATTACTGTTATGCAATAGCTAATGTCATACTTATTAGAGCTTATTTTCCATATTGTACAAACTGAAACATTCATTATACTATTACATTTCAGTACCAACCGTGACAACCGTGACTTTAAATGTATTACTAGTTGATGTATAACGAGATACATGTATATGTATAAGTCAAATAAAACTTTCTCTTCTTTTTCTTCCTATTCTTCTTCAATGTAACTTGTATGATAAGGTAAAACGAAGGTTTTAATTAGTTTTAAAATGGGTGAACGTCAATGTAAGCTACATTTTTGCATTTTATTTTCACTTTATGAATGTTCAATGATATATTCTTGACACTCAATGCACTATATGTCTTTTGTCATTTGCATCTAGTTGATAGGGTGTAATTATTCAAGACTCTTATTGTCGTTATTATTCTTGTTTTCTTTAGTTTGTTTAGCTTGGTATGGTTCAATGTCCTTTTTAATTGTGTTTTTTCTTAGGTGATTGGCTCTTTCAGACGAAAGTTGACCAAGAAAATATTTTGATTAAATACATATATGTCGCGAACCGTCCTAATTAGTAATGTCCTACCTTTATAAATACAACATGATCATATTGTAGAGGTCATTGGAGAGGTAATTAGACCTATCCACAGTGTTGAGAATGATTGCTGGCAGCATCCATTTTTGCGTATCAAATTGAAACTAATGCATCGCATTTTAAGCATTAAATAATAAGAATCAGTCTACAAAAATTGGTTTGCTCATGCTTTAGGGAGAGCTAAAATATAAGTTGTCCTACTTTGAAAAATCATCAATATCAATATGCTATAGATTAATTTCTACGTTAACAAAATGGGTATTTTCTGAGCTACAAGAAATAATTGTTATGTCATTGTTATGCAATCATTGCTATCACTTCTTTTTGTATTGAAAATTTAGAAATAACATAATTTTGCATGTTAACCAGTTTTACTTCGGCCGAGTATCTTTTTTAAAGATACTTCTTGTTTTACTCATTCGGTTGTAAACTAGGTAAATTAGGTCATTAACAGTCCAGGTCATTGGCACTGCTTAGATATGTTTTAGATATGATCATTCCTTATCACACAACCGTAGAATCAGCTTTCCCAGGCATGCTTGTTCTAATTATGGACATGTCGCGCAACAAGAGTTCTCAAACTTAAAGTACTTTCTTTTAGCCTTTCACCATCTTCAAAAATATCAGATTTTATTAATGAAATTTCTTACTGCTTTGTCTATATACAGGTAACATGTACTTGGTTGAAATGTTGAGCTATTTAAGTTTATTTTTCTGCTATTAACAAGTTTACAGAATAGTTACTCAAAAGTAAGTGTATCAATGTCATGCACCAAAATAAAAAACAAATATATTTATATTTTGTAAGTTTATGCTGCACTAATTTGCACTGTTTTTGATTCAAAATTGAAATCTTTTGAATGATTTCCTTAACGGCGAATGACTACAGAAGAAGTCAATCAAAAGTTCAGACTTCAATTTTGAATCGAAAACAAGTTCATCGATGGTTGGGTTTTTAAGTGGAGCTTGAATACTGAAACAAAAAAGAATTTATAAGCTTCGAACCCAATCCTTTTTCAACAATTCACGTTTGTATTGTGTACAGTATTACAGGTATTTTCTGTATATATTTTGCGAATTTGTATGTTGCACTGTTGAACAAATGTTATGTTATTAGGTAAACACACGAGTCCACTTTTACATATAACGCTAGCTGCAAACGCAAATGAAAGGATATATAAGCTGAAAATTTTGTTGGGGTTCTTTGAGTTTATTGGAGTTGAATAGATGTTGTTGTTGAGTTGAGTTGTTGTAGTTTAAGTGTTTTAGTTGTTTTAAGACTTTTGCTGGTATAAAATTACAATGCATTATTTAATTTTAGTTGATTTTATTATCATGCTTTCTCTGGACTTAATATATACAAGCAAAGAGTTCTAAATACATTTCAGCAAAAACATGTTTAGACAGATCAAAGAGTGATGAAAATATACAGAGTAAACATGTATATTTATTTATTATTGTACTTACGTTTGTGCGCCATTTTGAATCATGTGCTTGAGTAACAATATCACCAAGAATATTATATGACCTAGTAAACCGTGTATGGAAATTTTGCTGCTTTTTAACATCGGAATACCTAACCTCACCTGAACATTAAACTCGAAAGTTCTGGCATGTTTAGGATGATCAGAAGATATAAAAATATATATAAAATAGAACACTAAATTTGAAATTAGGCCACGGTGCGTCTCGTCTCGAGTCATGGTCCGCCCTGTCCCAAAATATGATCCGCCCTGTCCAGAGGTATGGTCCGCCTTGGTACCGTCCGACCTGTCTCACGGTCCGCCTCGTCCCAGGGCCGAAAAAGGGTGTTACAGTATACATAGATAGATAGATTATTCCTTATCTGAGAGACTGGCGGAAATAGCCGATATTATGCTATTGTTCGCATATGCAATTCGACTAATAAGAAGTTTACTTAATTTGAACAATTAATTAATCTTCAACAGCTGTAAAAAGACCTCTCGCATTCTTCTTTTTAAAGAAGCAAACATGTTTAATTAATACTGGAGGAATATTAATCTCTATCTCGATTTTTTGTCAACTATAATGCCATCACGCCTTTATTTTTGTTTAGAAATTCATATTTTATTAAACTTTGAATTAACTTTCGACAATGCAATATATTTCTAGAAGAATATCTTTGATATACTGGTGAAAATACTGATATAATTTAAGGTAAACATTCTTGTCTGTCATAATCAAACATGTGTGAGTTCATTTAGTGTTTCAGTTTCATTGGGTAATAGTTGTACATGAAGCGTATAAATGTCTAATTCCTTATTAGATGTTATGTAGTATATTTTGTTAACCGGATTGTACATTTAATATCTTAGATTACAATAACATGTATTTTGAAGGTTAATTATATAACCAATTTTATTCTAGTACAGATAAATCTGACAGAAACTTTAGAAAGTTTTTTAAGGAGGAACAACGTATAATTTTATCTAGACCAAATTTGACTTCAAAGACAAGTTAGAAAACTAACACACCTGCACATGAAAATATTGTAATTACAACGGAAGAGGAAGATGATTACATAAAAATGTATTGGTTTTTAAAGCGGAGTTTAACTCGGCTTTTGAAAGCATAAACAAAGTCAGACATCGCTGTATTCCAACTGTTGCAAAAACAGTTCAACATTCCATTGACATAAAGAGAGCAAATATAAAGTGATAAATTCTAGTTTTAGTCAGTTTATTTTACTTTAATTATGAAGTGCAATCGTTACCATCTAGTTTAAATTCAATTTTACTCTTGATAAACAGAGGTTTGCATCTGAGAAAACTTTTATTTAAATTAAGAATAAACCTTTGAGATAGACAAAATGGTCATGTTTATGTTACAATTTAATCTTTTGATATTTTTTTGTTTAAAAACCAATTCTGTGCTTCATAGATTTATAAAAAAAAAATCATCGTGATAGCTTAGAACTTCAATGATATGATGTTTTTTTAGGTTACCATTAAATAGTTTACTTTGCTTGTTTCGTGTTTATCATATTATATTCCAGAATAGTATTAATGTGATATCGTAACAATAATATTATTCATAACAGAACTTTAATCATAATTATGCTTTTATTAAATTGATCTCATTAAGAAACTTTTCATATGTTTTATATACCACAACTTGTTTGTTTTGTGTTAATTCTAAAATATTAGAGTATTGTTCTTTGTAAACATTGGCATGTTAATCGGCTCCTTTAGAATTTCGCACTATATTAACGTAATGATATGTTATTTTCTAGTTTACAATGTTGTTACATAATAACATCATGCTTATTGTCCAACTAAATGGTCAATCTTCAAACAGTGATAACAAAAAGTCCTATATTCATTAACGAGAATAAGTGAAATGTTCAAAAATGAAAACATTAGCAAAATACAGTAATGTTTTAGAAGTTTTTCCTGCAGTTACACGAAACCTGCCAGATATTGTTATAGATACGGTTTATATACAAGCGTCTCATAATTTGTATTTTAGATAATGGTTGATACAGAAAAATATTAGATCTAGCTTAGAGGTCTCATTATTGAGACAAAGCTTAATTTTTATGTTATGTGTTATAATCAATTAGTGTAGGACGTTTCGTTTTAATTTGTGAATAAAAAGGTTTCTTTAAAAATAAAATATAATAATTTGTTTTTTAATTTTGTTTCTATTCCCACCTGAACACAAGTTTTCTGACATAGTATCGAAGTAATTATGAGATAAGAGAAGGAAACAAAATGATAAGTCTACATTATTGTTAGATCCACATATTTAGTATAAGTAACGCCCACTTACCTCAAAGATCTTTCAATGATTTTATTATACATCAGCTTCCCAATTGTAGCAACGTTAGTCACATGCTGCTGTCGGAGAAGTTCTTTAACATCTGCCAGAGTAACATTTTCCTGAGTCTAATATAAGGCGTTGTATGATTTAGGTTTTAAACTACTGTCTACCAACACCAAAACAAGGTATAAATTTTTTTAAATGGAACTAAACGGTGCGATTTGGACCATGAAGTGTGTATATTATCCCAGTACGTTTATCAGTCTACATGTAACTTGACTTAGAATTCCCAAGACGTCACAAGTATAGACCTTTTATCGACGCGGTCGTTGCTATGAAAAATCGACTGGAAGTAGTATTTCCCCGCACATGCGCAATCTGCGTAGGGCACAAAAAGCATAGTCTTACATAGAAATATAGAAGAAGTTCATAGACAATTCTGAGTTAGTTTAAGGTAAAAGGTAGAAAATTATATAAATTAGCTTTAAACAAAATAAAAAAGATTCCTTTATAGCTTTGTTGCCAATATTGCCATAAAAAAAGGAAATTGTTTAAGAATTCCCCCTTACGATTGGCCCGCTTACGGTCACAGACCTAACATTGAGTTTTATTTTAAGAAAATGTGGAATTATATCTTTTATTCAAATGGGGGGTAACTAACTTGTTGTTGAAATAGTTCATAAAAGCATTAAAAAAAGTTTATGTCATATGAAATCGAGATTAATTAGCAGTCTAAAAATAGTCAGATAAGGCCCGGTGCATTTTTATTGTTCAGTTTACCTGATTTTATTATTTATTTGACTGTGATGCAAAACAGATAATTTTAAGTCACATGATTATATTTTAAATAGTTAAATATTTTTTCAAAATCTTTAAGGAAAGTGAAATAACACTCATTTTATCCGGTTCCTTGTAACACATGTTAATATTTTTTAATGTAAGTCACAATAATTGTCACTTCACAAATCAATAAACATTGATGAGATCGGTATATATAAAAGTTACTTAAATTGCGATTTTCATAATTGTACGTGATTAACTATGTCATGATTCTAAAACGTCCCAGTTTAATGATATTTATACAATATCTAGCTGGAAACAAGCAACCACGGTCGCGTGTCAATCTGTTTGACACTTACCGCCTGGCCAATCCAATGGAAGTATACAATACAGATGGTGTAATATCATGTAATTCAGGGGTAACAATAAAAGCATTGATGCAAAGCATCAAAGGGCGTCCAAGCAAGAAATGCAGCAAGTGAAGATGAACTAGTACACATATGATGACAAGATATTCTTATAAACTACCAGAAATGTATACCACTTATGAATGAGCGGACGAAAGACATTGTTCATTATGAACTTTGATTGGCATGCTAGAGATTAGAATATTACTTGTTATTTCTTTATGATCGTGGTTATTAATAGCAACGGATATACATGTATGCAATCATTATAATCCATATGTGTAACGCATGATCAACACGTACCACACATTTGTCCCTTATTATGTACATGTTATCGCTATTAGCGAAGACCCCCTTAAGGTATCTGTTCACACTTTAAGTTAGTAAAAATATGACACTGGTTATATTACCATGTTGATCATGTTGAGCATAATTGTTTATTATACAATAATTGTAATATCTATTAATTTTAATTTAAAAAAAAATACAAATTTTATGAATATTGTTTTCTTTTATTCTTTTTTTGTGTTGATGTGCTATTTTAATACTGAGTTTTTACTACTCTTTTTTATTAAAATTGTAAAATAAATTTTAAGAATTCAATTGTCATATTGACCGACGATTATAAGTCAAAGCTTAACTGGAAAAAGTCAGTAAATTATGGTTTATCTTTCAATATATAATATTGTTTATTCTTAAACCATGTACATGTACATTGTATTTTTCTTTATCATTTTTTAAATTATCGATCAATTGAATAATTCATAAAATCTAATTTGTAACTTTGAATAATTCCTCGGCATCTTTACTAAACACGGATAACAAATTGAATAATTAAATAAAATGTTTCAAAGTTGATAATGTCATTTTAATACCATAAAAAATGTACCTTTTTCTCAATTATTGTACATATCACGGATTTATATAACATATAAATCCGTGTACATATTTATTGTTTTTATCTCATATAGATAAAATGAAACATGCTATTGTTGCTTTTTTCTAATTGTAACGATATCAAACATCTACTCCAAAACCGGGAGAGACCGGACAATATAACGTGTGGTACTATTCGCCGGTCACTGGTAAATCCTGGTCAAAATAGACCGGGAGAGACCGGCATTTACCGATAGGAGTGATAAAAAGATATATCTATAAATAGGTTTTTGGAATATTTAGGTCATCAACTGATCATTCTAGGATACATGTACAACAATAACATACCATGACATGATAACCGACTGTTTACTACAAAATGATAAATAAAAAACCCCGAAGAGCGCGATTTATTGACGGAAAAGGTTATTTCATTTGTAAATGTTTGCATTGCGAAAATTCATTGTAACATATCGCGACATTTCATTCTTATTTAATAATCAAGCACCCTCATACCGATCGGAATTTTCGGCTTTTATTATGACCGACTAAAAGGCTCGAGAAGTTGCTGTCGCCCTTTCACAAAATCTGATCTCATTCCATAAGAGCGCCGCGCTTCGGCGCGGACGCCAATAAAATTTAATCTTTAACACCCTGCTGTTTGAATTTAAATTAAGGATGAAAAAATCGTCTAATGATATCTTAAAGAGACGTTTTTTTGTATGCGCATTTTGACCATTTGATTATTAGTATATATGTTGACGTTTTAAGTACTTACCGCTTAAAGTCATCCCAAAATTACTGTTTTCTGGTTGATATAACATGGAACCACGACTATTAAAGCCTTAAAGTATTAACACTGCTGTCAATTTTATTGCGCTTTTGTCCTACGCAGAATGCGCATGCGCGAATTGCTGGAAGAATCGTATTGTAAAAATGTCTATATATATAAAGAACGACAATCATGGCATTATAAGGCATACGGTCAAATATAATATTAAAGACTATAGTCACAGAGTAGAATCATTATAACTTAAGGAAAATGTATTATATTTTACATGTTATATGGTAATATATTTAGATAACTGTCTCCTTCAAGTTCGTTCGTGAACAAAGACACATGTATACGTTTTTATATATGAAAGTATTTATGATTGGTAGCTAAATTTATTGACGACATAAGGGAATACATTCTTGTTTATATTAATCTCCTATTAACCAGTGCCTAGGAATTTTGTGCTTTTTCTAATTAAAATATAAC